GAGATGAAGATCAGCGTCAAGCAGAAAAAAAAAAAAATAAAATGGTGAACGCCAAGCGCGTCTGCCAAAAGCATTATGAAAAGCAATGTAACATCTATCAACTAATCATAAATCAAAATAAATAAATAACAGAACGATAGAAATCGATCCGCCCTCCCGCCCCACCACGGCAAGCACCCCAATCTCACGGAAATTCAGCGGGGAGGGGGCTATGACTCTGAGTCGGAGCAGGAGCGGGAGAGGATGTCGGAGAGAGGGAGTACGATACGGAGCGAGGCGCGCCAGATGCCAGGTTGGGCCTGGGGGACGGCGCCATGGTTGGAGACACGGACTCGACCATTGAAGTACTCGCCGGTGAGCATGTCCTCGTAGCCGTACCGGACGGCTCTGGTATCGGGATCAGCAGCAGGATCGCCGTCGGGAGGTGCGACGTCGTGACGGCCGTCAAGATCATCGCAGCCGTCGTCTGAAAAGACATCATCCAACTCGACGTCCGGCTCGTGGGCGGGATCGTAGGCCGTGACCGAAGGACCAAACTCGACGGTGGCGGTGTAGGCGCCGGCAGGCAACGGGTGATCACTGTAGTCCTCGAACATGGACCAGTTGATAAAGCGCCACATCTCCGAGTCGCGGGCAAATGTTCCCGAGCAGAGCGGAAAGACGGTGCCCGGATGGACAAAGATAAAGTCGGAGAGCTTGGTAGCCCAGAATGAGTCGTCGGCATCGACGTCCACGGCATCGTACGGCACATCGATGGCGGAGCCTTTGACCCGAAAGGTGACTCGGGGGTAGATCGAGCGGGTCATGGCCACCGCCCGCGGCGCGTTGCTCACGTTGGCCACACCTACGTGCAGCGTTTGGTCCGAAGCGTCCCATCGGAGCACCATCTGCAGGCCGCCATCCACCTCTGACCGCGCCGTGTCCGTATCAGTCCCAAGAACCGAGACTGGAGCAGCCGGGTTGGTCTCGGACGGTGCGGCTGTTGCGGCAGATGCGGTGGATGTGGTGGATTCAGCAGGTGCTGTGTCTTGTGCCGGATGGCCAGACATGCGCTGGAGGACCGAGGTGAGAGACGCTTGCATGCTCATGGCTAGCGCTTGAGCCATAGCCGAGTGGGGAAGAGAGCAGGATCGGCGGACACGGGAGGCAAGAGAGAGAGAGAGAGAGTGAGTGAGTGAGGGAGGTGGTTTTCGGGAATTTAGCATGGCGTCGACGGCATGTTCTTCCTTGGCACCTTCGTTGGAAGGTCGATTCGAGTGCATGCCAAGAGTGTTCGTGAACAATGAGGATAGCGTGGCACGGTGGCGAGTCATGGCTTGGATGACTTGGCCTTGGTTCGCGCCCACTTTGGCACCCGCGATCGCTTGCAGGTCGAGGCTGCAGCGTGCATACCGTCGACACGGCGTGGGAAGGCGTGCAGCGTCTCGATCCACGACTGGACGGTGGTGAAGATCTGGGCCTGCGACGGGAGTTTGGCGGTGAGCGGCGCGGACGGTGAGCGTGCGTACCCGATAAAAACCGAGCGCGAGGCGTCGGCGCTGGCGTCGGCCGGCGGCGCGAGAAGATCCTTGGACGGTGCCACATGGAGGTCGAGCGCCTCGAGGTCGGCCACCAGTGCAGGCATGCGCGAGAGCGCCCATCCGGTCCACTCCGCCAGATCGGCGTCGGAGAGCGCAAAGAGCTCGAGCTGGACGTACGCAGGGTATTGGGCAGTGTGATGGCTCCGCGCAAAGAGATCAAGCCAGCTCGCTTGGCCGGAGCCGAGCCCGGCAACGAGGTTAGCAGCGCGGACAAACTCGGCCTTGAGGAGCCGCAGCGTCGACGGCGTCACGTTGCGTGCCGTGTTTTCGGGCGGGTAGCACGGCGAGAGGACCGGCATCCGGTGGTACTTGGCCTTGGACTTGGTCCACGGATGGATGCCTGCGTTGGCGGCGTGCTTTGGAATGTCTCCGGGAGGAATGAGCGCAATCGGCTCTGGGTACTCCCAGCAGGCGTAGGTGGCGAAGAAAGCAGCAAGCAGCTCCTCCACGCTCGCACCAGGGAAACGTCGGCAGACTTTGGCCACCATCAGCGCCCACGAGAGGCCGCCGAGGAGGCAGACCGACGAGCCCGAGAGCCCGCGGTTCTTCTGCCACCGCTTGACCGCACGAAGAGTGGCCTTGAACACCTCCACGTCCGGAACCAGTGACACAAGCTTGCCAGCCTCGCGCGGGCCGCGAATCGACGCCACAGACGCAAAATCGTCCTTGATAGCATTGAGCACCTTCTTCGTCTCGACCTCGGCATAGGCCGGGTCCAGCGCGTCGAGTGGGACGTCGTCAAACCCGGTTGTGCTCGTTGGGAGCTTGGACTTGAGCGGAACGCTGGCATACGCGAGATCAACCTCGATGCCGTCGATCACTGCCTTGTAGACTGGCACAAACGCGTCGCGGACTTCACGGAGAAACGAGGTTCCTGGGTACGCCTCGAGAAGCTGCCGAAGGCTTCCGTCAAAAAACGCGTCGTGGCCGAGGCCGGCTGGGCCTACTGCCACCACATCGATGTCTGAGCTCGGAGTGAGAACGCCAAGGACAAGCGAGCCATACGGCAGCAGTCGCCAGGTGTGTCCCGGCCCCGCGTCAACTCCCGCGCCGGTCATCCACGAGTCGACAAGTGCATTGAGCACCATCAAAACTGCGTGGTGCGAGTCTGTCGCAGTAGGCGCGGTGATCCGTGGATCCAGCCGAGGAAGAAGAGTCGGCGGCGCGAGGTCTGGAGCTGCGACCTCCGCCGGTGGCGCGGTAGCATCGGGCGCAGTGCTGGCGTCCAGCCCGAGGCGCGCGTCGGCCAGGCGGACACCTGGTGCGAGCGCGGCGAGTGGACCCAGGCGCGGGGTGTCTGGCAAGAGCGTGTGCTTGAGAAAGACAACAGCCTCGCGGACAGCAGCTCTGCCGGGCACTGCACCATTGACCCGAAAAGTCGATCGGTGGCCAGAGCCGAGGGCGTCGCGGAGTGTGGCGTCAAAGCCTACGTCCCGAACTGCAAGATAGATCCGGTACAAGAGGCAGCCCTCCAGGACGTCGGCGAGTGCGGCTGGGACCGGCGCGCCGAGCGCGACGTTGTAAAGATACAGCGCCTGGGTCACCGACATGACGGTCGAAGTCAGCTGGAGCGCAGCCGGCACGTACCGATCGCCGCCTTTGCCACGGGTCTTGCCCTTGCCCTTGCCCTTGCCACAGGTCTGGCTCGCGCTGGCGTCACTCGCAGACGCACGCGTGACCTTGGACCCGTAGTAGGCAGCCTTCTGAATCATCCGCGAGGTGGCAATCGAGCGGACCTTGCGGCAGAGTGGGTGGCTCGGAGCAAGCAGAGGAAGAAGCACCATCGAGAGCGCGACGGCGTCCCACTCGGTATGCGAGAGCTCCAGCCCCGGGAGCGTGGCCAGGCAGCGCAGAATGGCGGCGCCAAACTTGGGAACCAGGTGAGTGGGTGAGGCCGCGTCGACCGAGGCTGTCGACGCGTCGCCAGCGTGGAGATCCTCGTCGAGGTCCAAGCCCGGGTCTGAGCCCGAGCTCGAGCCTGAGGAGGCGCCGACCGGCGGGAAGGCGCGGCGTGACGGAACGGTTCCGTCGCTGGCGGTCGGCGTCATGGACGCCGGCAGCGGACGCGGTGAGGCCCGCAGATCGTTGGTGAGAATGAGGTTGTAGTCGCGCGGAAGGAGCGGCGCGGCACCGGGCGCCTGGTCCGGGAACATGGCGAGCGCGTCCCACGAGCGAGTTGCCGGATCAAAGCCAGCAAGCAGGTAAAACGCGTCAGCACGGGCGTGTGGGCCGAGCGCGGCGTACGCCGCCGCGCGGGCTTGTGGCGACTTGAGGATGTGGTGTGGGACTGCGGTGCGAGCTTCGATGAGTGCAGCGCGGGCGGCCGAAGAGCCGGCTGGTGTCAGTGCCGGTGGCTCGGCCAGCAGCGCGGACGCGACGCTTGGATTGACGCCCACCTCAAATTCGCCAGCAGAGCTGGGGCTCTTCTTGCGGGCCTCGGTGACGGTGGCGAGCGGAGCGGAGGCGTCAAAGGCTGGCGCAGCAGGGTCGACCAGCATCAGCTCGTAGACGGCAAGCCGGAGCGGGGCGCAGCGAGCATGGAGCGACGACGAGCCAAGCTCAATGAGCGGATGGCACTTGAGCCGGTGCCAAAGCACAATCTCGTACAGCGAGAGGCCCGGCTCGTTGTGAAAGGCCGGAAGCAGGTGGCGTGGAACGGCAGACGGGGTGGCGGCGATGGCAGCAGCATGTGGCATGACATACTGGTTGCGGGCTGCGACATAAGTTGCGAGCCGGGCGGCGAGTGCATCGGGCGCTGCATCCGGGAAGAGCGCTGCGGCAAACTCTGGCGCTGAGACGTCGAGCAGGCCGGGCAGGGTGTTGCCGTTGGCGGCATCGCCGACGACAGTGTCGACAAGCTTGGGCAGGGTGTTGGAGGCAAGGAAGAGAGCGACGGCAAGGACCGAGTCGCGGCGGGTAAAGCCGTAGCGCTCAACGAGCGAGCCGACAAAGTGGAGGGTCTCTGACGAGTTGAGAATGTCGTTGCCCATCATGCACGCGAGGTCCGGTAGGTGGTGGGCAGCAAAGGTGCCCGGTGCAGCGGCGCGGGAGGCAAGCATGCCGTTGATGCGGTCAACCGTGTCCTGAGGAGTGTATCGCTGGGCCGTAATGGTCATGCCGGAGAGCGAAACGTCCATCGACGAGTACGAGATGACACCGTTGAGGTTGGGCACCGCGAGGTAGTCGGTGTCGCCGCCAAGCACGGCATACGCGCCGCGGACGATGGCGAGGGCGGTAACCAAATCGTCGGCCTCCTTGTTCTGAGCGTGGTGGATCTCGATCGACGCCGGCGGCGCCTCACCGCGGGCGAGCACGTTGCGGACAGCCTCGACAAAGGCATAGTGCATAAGCGGCGGTGGGCGGACTTGATAGAAGCTATCGGGATCGCCCGACTGCATAAAGTCGGAGACGGCAGTGATGCGGCGGTCCCAGCGGTCGACAAGAGTCCCGCGGCGCTCCTTCTCAGTCTCGGGGCAGCCCTCCATGACCAGCACCAGATCCATGCGCGAAGCCAGCGCCGCCAGCAGAGCCTCAGCCCGGGCCACATACACCCGGTACTGCCCGCCGGCCAGCCAGTCGATTCGCGGCTTGCGCTCGTAGATAAAGAACATCAGGCCCGAGGCATCGACCACGACCAGCGGGCGTGTCCGGCTCTGGCTCGCGGCATCGTCGTGGTCCGAGGCTGCAGTGTCCGAGGCGGCGGCCAGCGGAGTGCCTGGCTCGGCAGAGAGGCTCACCCGATTGCCCCAGAAGCTCCAGTCTTTCTCTACATCCGAGTGTGCGGTGTTGGTGATAAACGAAGCCAGGCCGCGGATGCCCATGGTGGTTAGCGCTAGCGGCGGTGAAGTGGGTTGGTTTGGCGAGGGAGGACGGCGTGGGCCACGAACGGGGAAAGTCGTAGGTTTTTGATCGAGTGGGAATGGAAGACGAGTTGAATGGAAGGCATTGGAGGTTGG